TTTAAAAATAATTTGGTCTTTTCACAAGTTAAAATTAAATTTTGACCGACAAAAGATACAGATTTATGTATTAGCTATAATTTGAATGCTTATTTTTTATGAATTAAAAAACGATTGTATACTTCTAATAAAATATAATATAGGGTATAAAAAGATAAATAGCCCTAAAATTTTTAAAATTGTGTGTGATTGGATAAGGACTTTAGACTAAAATGTGTCTTTTTCTTTTTTCTTTTTAAATTTCATTTACGAAGTAATTATAATCGGGGAGTTGAAAACAATTTAGACAAGATATTGCCAGCCGAACTAATTCGGATTAAAGCTTTGATTAATATGAAATTAATCATACAAAAATCAACCAATCCCAGCCCTGCCTTCAACAGGACGATCGAGCAAGAAACACTCAACACAATGTTGAATGCTATTACAGAAATCACTTGTGATTCACTCAATTATTGATGCAATCATTTTGAATTAATGTTAATTTATTCAAAGTGAACAAAGAAAAGTGACTTTTGAATTATATATAAAACAAAGAGTTTAAGAATTTGGGAAATTGTATAAATTCTTAGCTTGGTCTCTAAGAGAGCCATGGCCAAAAGTGAACCCACCACAATATAACAATCATAAATAGTATACGTATATAATTACTTTAATATGGAAAAAAAAGTTTGGTTTGTGGGAATAAAAACTAATGACCCTCAAAAAACGACATTCAATCAACAATAGTGTATTAGTGGCAGGTTGAATTGCACAGTTTAACCAAACTAACAACTCTCTCCAACACACCCACTATTCATATAATTATAATTTCCTTTCTTTCTCTTCAAATGGTTTTATACCAAACTTTTATAACATTTTTCTCACACTATATCATTCTAGCTTGCCCATAAAGCCAAAGCCAAAGAGAAGAAGTGGTACTACTTTTCAGATTTTCTGTCTTTTGTTATAAATAGGTACTGTTTTTTTTGGGATAAGCCATTTTAATTAGTTTGGTTTTATCATTTGATCAGAAGGGTTGTGGCTAGATTACTACAATGAGATCGGATCGCGTTGAGAGATTTGTTGTTCTTCCTTTTGCCATCGGATGCGCCTCCGAATCGAGCATTGCTCTCGGGAAAAGCAGTACTACTAATCAAGTGAAGAAACCATGTCATGATGAAGAACAAAAACCAACGAGTATGTTGTTTTGATCGTTCTCTTAATCATTACTCTCTCAGGATCTTGTTTCTCTAGTAGAGAATTTGATGATATATTTAGGTTCTCTTTTATATATTTTTATTTGGTGTGTTTTCTAAGGAAGACCAGAAACAGAAGAAAGTTCATTGTCTCAAGTGAAGAACAAGAGGAATGGTTTCATCAGTTTCCTGACTCTACCAAAGCCTTATATTTCCGGTGGCATACAGAGATTGATCCGAAGCATCAAAAGTTTGTCTCAGATATTTGGTAAGTAAAATCATGCTTTTCGTTTCCTTCTTTTTTTTTTTTTTGAAAATAAATAAAATAAGTGCTTCAATTTCAACAATGTTGAATAATTTTGTGCATGCCCAGATGGCCATTTTCTGAATTTATGCACCTAGAAAGTTGGTTTTTCTTATTAGTAGAGGATGATGGCTTCTATTCTAGAATGTTGGGCAGTACTTTGTGGGCATGTGAATGATTTTTCCTCTCATTCATTTCTTCTCTTTCTTTCTCGGGAGAGTTCTATGGTAGGGTTTGAAAAAGTAAATACCGATAGGTCTCTTTTTCAATCGTCATAAGATTTTGCATACTTTTTTATTTTAATGTGATTTTGACCACATCTAATGGTCAGAAACGTGTACTCACCTTTACCATTAAAAGACCTTTCTAGTTCTTGTAACTTTTTGTATAGATTTCAAGGGCTTGTGGAAGAATTTACGTGTGTACATTTCTAAATGCTCGATGCTATTAGAATGATCAAATATTGCATTGAAAACAAGTATGTGGTATGTGTTTTTGATGAATCGAGGACATCTGATTGCTTGATTTCAGAAAGGAAAAAAAAAAAAAAAA